TTAGAATTTCCGCTAGACAGTCTTGTGCGCTGGAGATAAAAATGCTTTATTCTGTACAGAGTTTTAATGTTTTATTCCGTATTTATATTTGAGAGTTGCCATTGCCCGCTTTGAAATCGTTAATGAAAAATTCCTTAAAATCTCACAGTGTATGAAATAGATAATAAAACAAAATTCGAAATTAAAAATTCAGGGTTCCAGCTACCTGGGTTTGGGTGGATGACTTCGTTATTCAAAAACTTGATGGCTCCAGGTACCGTTGTTTTATCATAATGCAAGAAACATAAATATATTCATGCAGATTCATCAATATTTAATTTCTTTAAATATAATATATTTGGTGGCAACTGCTTGAAAAGTGATACAACGCATTTAAAGTGTGTTGTTGTTATATATGCTCACTTGTCTGACGTAGTCATCCCAAGCCCATGAAATTCCTCGTAGCAAGGAACGCAAATTTGCGCCTGTCGTTGGCAACGGCCTTGAGTACCTAGTACGTGACAGTGCGATTTTAGCTCAGTTCCGCCCCAATTTTGATAAAGAGCACCCCAGGAGGGGGGTCCGAGGATCTCTATCCCTCTTCCTTTCCGCAAGCCACACAAGAGAACTTTCGGCTCGCTGCATATTTAGAGTGCCGCCATGATGACCTCCATGATGACGCTAACCTCTATACCTGTTGGGCGGGGCATTTAAGAGTTTCGAAACAAAATGGCGTTTGGATACTAACGTCCCTTTTGGACTAAAAATATATCAAAACATTCTTGCATTTCCTTTATTCATTAGATCCTTAAGCAGTGGAAGATAGTTTCTGGACATTTATTTGAACCAGAGAAATTTCTTATTCATAGCGTTAAGTCTTGTAATAATAATCAATAGAGTCATAATTTCTTAGCCATTTTTCATTTGACTTAATCCTTCTTTTTAAACTGAAACGTCTTTATATCAAATTACATTTTTTTGCGCTATCTTCGCAGAGATCATATCATTACCTCAGATTAAAAATTTACACAGCGAAAAGGCTAATGCTAAAGCATTATATTAAAGAATGATTAACTCTGATAGAATTACAGAAATTCAAGAATTCCGTGTTGAAAAATACCTGGTAATAAATCTAATCGAACTAACTAAAATATGACGGCAATCATAAATTTTTAATTGGACAGGATAAGGAAATAACTTGAAGATTTAAATAAACAATAAATCGGGCCGTCTTGTATGTAATCTAGCACCAATCGATTTTTACAACATAATAATATGCTTCGCGTCTGAAATTAAGAGCGAAAATGCATGTTTAATGAGAATAAAATCAATACAATTGAATAAATGTAGCGTAGAAATTTCATGCTATTTGCTTTCTTTTGTCATCATTTCCAAATGATTGCATATTTCTTGCCTTCCGTTTTAATTCATTTATTTTTCCATCATTGTCATAATTGGCGATGCCTTATTTTTTAAATTTTGAAGTTATTCAAAAGCTTTTAAGGAGTAGGATGATGAAGGCATTTAGTACAAAGTTAAAATGCTTCCTTTTATAATGTATTTACTGTAATTAAAACTAAATTAAAAATAATGTTATCTTCTTCCCTGTTGAAAGTGAGCTATTCTGCCTTTCGCTTTTTAGAGTGCGTATGCTTAATTTAATTCTCATTTCTAAGTGCACGAAATTAGGCTGATCGGATAAAAATTTACTTAAATTGCTGTTTGGTATATGTTTTTTTTAAAGTATTAGAAAATTTGATCATTTCAATTTAAAAACACAATTATGCTATGACATTTTAAAGTTACATTAATCAAATCCAACTAATGAGACGTTATTATGCTGTCATTTAAAGAAGTATTAATAAATGTTGTTCTGGGGAATGTTTCGCAAAAAATATTAATTGCAACAGCGTGGTGTATCGAAATGAATTTTGGTATGTTAATAAAAGGTATTAAACGAATGCATAACTCCCTTCACGTGAATGGTGTGCTTAAATTAAGACTACTGTATATGTATATATAGAATCTATGCATATGTATACTGTAACGTATTTTGCAGTATTTAAAGCGGCAAGGCCGTGTATATACGGCCTAGAATATTTATCGTGATATCTGTAAGAACGTATATATACGTGCATATTAAAATATGTCAACGAAATTAAGGCAATTTATCAAAAGAAATCAAATCCAGGTATGAAATACCAGTAGAGGTTTTACATTAAAATCAAAAAAATAATTTGTTCTCATAGTAGTTTTGGGAAATTTGTGCTTTCTTAGCGAAAATCCTCGCCGCTCAGAGGGTTAACAAAATAACAGATGATCTTCTTAGTAAAACATAAATTTTATTTTTAATTTACTGTGATAGATAATTTGAATATCGTATTTTAGTTACAATTTTTTCATACATCTTTTAGCTGCTAAAATTTCAGAATAACAATTTTAAACAATTTCTTACGTTGCTGAGGAACGATTAAATGATACAAATACGGCGTTGCCACTCCAGTGTTACATATATTTATTTGTTAAATAATAAAATATTGCGATACATATATCTATGTATGTGAGATAAAAAATATTAAACTTCTAATTTTAATTGGCAATAGCCCCTTTTATTTTTTATTTTAATTTGGATATTTCTCCTTTCTGTCTTAAAAATAGTAATCTATGTCACATGGCTGGCGTAACGCTAATAACGTAGCTAATTCGAAACTTAAACTCGAAACTTTGAAAACCTCTCTAACCTAAGCCAATATTTTCTCCTGCTGAGATTCCATATTTGCGCACTTTTGCTTTTACTTAGCTTCCTCTGTTCTATCGCAAAAGCTATCTAGCTGTGCTCTCGTTCTATCGCAAAATCATCAATAATGCAAATAGTCTGATAAATAGGCATGATTAGAATACCAAGTGAATTGTGGTCATACATGTCAATTGAAAAACAAATGAATATTTAATCTTACTCGGTTGCTAAGTTTCCTAGTCATTACGGATTCAATTCTACGTTTTATGCCACCTGTATTTCTTCGTCTCTATGTATCAATGTTCCTACATCAGTATTTCTAAATTTATTTTTATTACATATGTGTAAATCGATAACATATTACATATAGTCGCATACAAAGTTTCTTTGCCTAGGAACTAAACTTTGTTTGCCTCTTTTGCTGGATCTAGTGGTATGATTCCTATCTCTATCTTTGGAAAAATGAAGTCTAAATATTGATGAACCTTTACCCACGTATGTGTATTACATTATTTCTTTTAAGGTGCATAATTACATATTTCTTTAAATATTTTCATTTGACATTGATGCATTCGTGTGATAGCCATATCGGACAATTATATAATTTACAGTTTTAGCACTGAGAACATTGCCAAGAGTGGGTACCATAAAAAGACCAGCAAACATCATCAACGCCTCTGTCTTATGGTATGGTAATTCAAACTCGACCCCATTAAACATTACAGGTGTACTCTTCAACCATCATATAAACGGACAAACAAAAAATATCAGTCGTAATGCAGTGACTGCCAATCTTGTGCTGAGGAAATCATTTTAATCCACAATTGAGAATAATCAGGCGGTATTTTCACTGATTTCCATTTTTAACTGGATTATTTAATTTAATAAAATTATTCAAGTATTCAATTAAAAGGCTTTGTATCAGCCTGTCGAAAGAACCTATTGTTATTTGAGAACCATACCCTTTCGTTTAGTTTATTCTAGCAAAGCATACTAGGGCTATCTGTCTAATGGGAGAGATGCTTTCGTGGAGGACTTTCTAAGGAAGACTGGCTCGTATATACGTTACACATAGAAAACATGAAAACGCCCATACAGCCAGCTCGTTTGTCTTAATTCGAACCCAGGTCGGAACTACCAGTGTTCGCAGATTTTACCGCTCGGCTACTGGTGGGCCTTGGGTACCATGTTCTTGTCATATCAGGAAAAATTAATCAAATTTTATTGCTAATGTTAAGCAACTAAACTATTTGTTTTCTCCCAATTTAAGCTAATGCTATATGAAAAGGTGTAATTTTACGTTTTTACAAACTCTCATTAGATAGTTGAAATATATTTATTAATAACAGATATATATATATATATTATATATATGCGATGTACCAGCTTTTGTCGTAGCTTAAACAGACAATAGTTTTTAAAAAAGGATCAATTTTATTATTATTCAGGAGAAATAGCAGTTTACAATAGATATCCGGAGTAAATAAAAAGAATTTTTAATACTTTTGTATGAATTTACTGCATCGTGCATTTAGAAAAGCCCCGATTCTTTTGCGAGTCCTTTTATACCTCTGGAAAGGCGAGTTTCCAAGGAATGACGTCAGCTTCGTCAGCAATCCAGTTCGCTTTAAATATTTCCAGAACATTGTAAATTTACGTGTAGAAAAGGCGGGAAAACAACTTGATTACGGGGCTTCGATTTTAATTCCACGTGCTTTCAAATAAAAAACGTCGCATTAAAAATGAAAAGAACATACAGTTAGATTTTAAGTGTTTCTTGAATATGTAATTTTATTATTACATATATATAATATAAAAAATCACTAACTAATATATTTTTTTAAAAGTTCTGCTTCAATTTTTGTTAAGTTTTTTAATTACTATAAAGCATTAGTTGATTTAATTTTAACCCCTTTTACCTCAATTTTGATATTCATTTCAATAAATTCTAACTTTTGCCATAGGTTTAGTTATAACATATCATGAAAAAGCTTTAAATTATATTTAATTAAAAAAATAAATCACCAGATACGTCCACTATCCTCATTGCAAGTGAGAGTGTCAGTATCATTATCAGAATATTTCAGACAATCTCGAGAACACATGCAAAATTCTGTCGAATTTGCGAGCTCGAAAATTTCTGCGATTGCTATCCTTTTGATAGTATGGCAAATATACACATAAACTATGCCTAATTAGATACAACAACAGTCCCTTTACATCGGAAACTGTGAGAGGAAAAAAATCGAACAAAGTTTAAATAAAGTTGAAACTTCGTCCTTACCTGACGATGGGTCTTGCCTCGTAGCTGATATACCGAAATCTGAAAAAGAAAGTAATTTGGAAAGCATTAGTGAACGAGAATACCACTTTGAATAGGAAGAATCTTCCTACTTTCTCTCACGTTTCGTTAAAAGAAGGAGCAGAATTTTGGCTGCATTCCAAAACATGCTTAATGATCCGTAATTTCAAAGCCTGTGACGAAGTTTAAGGTAACTTAAGCAAATTTCTATGTTGTGATGTTACAGATTAAATTTAGCAATGATCCCAAATATTTTAAGATAAAAGAACATATCTTTTTTTTTATATTATCTTTTAGCATTAATTATGGAAGAACTCCGATTATCCGAACTCTAAGTTCTTGTGTCTAGATTAAGCAGAATCAACATTTTTGTTAATATATTTATGTGCTTAATTTTCTCGTACATTAAAATAATACGAAAAATATAATACATCGTAATACATATTGTTACCAGATGTCCAGTTGCGGTAAGATAGCTTCCCCACAAAGCGAAGGTTGCCAGAAAGTGGCAAGGAAAAGCAAGATTGTTTGTTATATTTGGCCCGAAATCGCCTATTTGGCGACAAAACCGTCTATATGCCACAGGTGGAGTGAGAACATTCTTGAGCGAATTCTTACCCGTTTTTCCGAGAATGTTCTCGGAGGCAGGTTAAAAGCTATATATACCCTACCTGTACGCGAAGTAGGAGAGTATCTAGGGCATGTTGAGTTCAGTAGTAGTGTCTTGAGTTCAGAGATCAGCTCGGGAGCGATCGACCGAGTCGGAAGTAGTACTTTAGGTTGCCAGAAAGTGGCAGGGTAAGGCAAGGTTGCCATATTTGGCCCGAAATCGCCCATTTGGCGACAAAATCGGCTATATGCCACAGGTGGTGTGAGAACATTCTTGAGTGAATTCTTACTGGTTTTTCCGAGAATGTTCTCGGAGGCAGGTTAAAAGCTATACATATCCTACGTTCCATACGCGAAGTAGGAGAGTATCTAGGGCATGTTGAGTTCAGTAGTAGTGTCGTGAGTTCAGAGATCTGCTCGGGAGCGATCGACCGAGTCGGGAGCTGTACTTTAGTACTTTGCCGTGAAGCTATCCTCGCCGTTATAGCCTGAAGGCTGTGTTGCTGATTGTTTTAACGTGTCTGTCGTAGTTTTCGACGACTGTAACACGTCTTTGGAATTATCCTGTGCAGTGCTGATAAGCAAATTGTTTTTTGATATTTCATTAAGTATTGTCCTCAATCGCTCCAAATCCACGAACCCGTAGAACGCAAAAATATTTTAAGAATATATTAAAAAATTTTTAATTTATTAAATTAACTCATATGAATATTTTTGAGACTTAGCCTACAATATTCGCCAATAACATAACTCAAATATACATTTACCTGGCATATATGAAACTTCTTTAATTACGTATCGAGCAGATGTTACTCAATTCTCTCTTTAGACGCAAAATAAAATTTCCCATCTTGGTCACAATAAACATATATATTCCTGCTTCAGAAAAATGACTACCCAAGCATCCAAATTTTTTTAATATAAAGTGGAGTTACTGCTCAATTGCAAGTAGTTTGGATATTTGGAGTTCTATCATAATTAAAGAGATTACAAAAACAAGATATTATAAACGGCATCAAATAGTATAGTAAATTGCATTTAATAAAAAGGTTTGAAATATGTCCATAAAAATAAAATATATTCATTAAAATAAATGATTTAATTTTAAAACTCAAACACTATACCGAGCACAATTTCCCTCCACTTTCTAATATAACTTGAATTTTTATAATTACATTTAATTAACATTGATAGTAAAAAGTGCAAAGTTAAAAATCAGACTAAAATCATGTAAAAAAACAGCTAAAAAGACTAAATCATGTGAAAAACTAAAATCTAAATTTTTTACTAAATTTCTTCTTTCTTTACTATTTCCTTACTAAATTTAGATTTTTTTAGTAAAAAATCTAAATAAAGTAAGTAAGTAAAAAAGTAAAAAAGTAAAAAATCTAAATTTTGTACTAAATTTTTTACATGTAAAAAACTGTAAAATGTAACATGTAAAAATTTAAAAAACTAAATAAGACTAAAATCATGTAAAAAACAGCTAAAAATTATGCAGAAACATATCCAGCAAAAATTTTAATAACAAATTCCATTTCAGTTTTAAATAATAAAACACTAGTAATATTTTTTAATTTTATCTACTGTAGTAAATAATAATACTTATCGATAAATGCAGTAAGTTAAACTCTTTTAAAGTGGACAAAATATTTAAATATACTATGTTTTTATCATGGTACTGTGTAAAATAACTTGACAAATATTTAACGGTTATTGTTTTACAATCAAGGTTGTATATGCAGCCACAGAAATAGGATAAAATATAACGTTTATAAGGTATTTTCTCTCACCTTTCCGCATGCCTTCGCGGGAGCACAATCCATGTGTCCCAAATGTCGAATCCTAGCGAATTATTAAGTCTCCTGCATCGAAAACGCTAATGACTCTACAAATGGCGCCCGAACTAATAAAGACGGTGTACGATAATTCATCACAACCAGGCTTTGATGATGGGGAGGGGGGTCTCTTGATTCCCATTCGCCCTTTGAAATGGGTATTATATAAGGTATTTTCTTTCTCCTTTCTGCGTGCCTTATTAGTGTAACTAGAAGCACCCCCGACGTAAATTTGGGAGCCCAGAGTTCGAATCGCGTAAAGGCACTGCACATTTTTTACGTCTTCTGCATCGAATGTAACCTCAATAATATTCTTAATATATCTGCTTATTTTAGAAAAACCTTTCAGTGACCAATGGAGACCTTCTTTGTGACTGAAACTGTTACAGGAATTTGTTCAGTCTCTGTGATAATTTGTTATTTTACTGTTACCTAGATTTTATGTAATATTATTCTTTTAACGTCGAATCTAGGTGATTTTACTCATGCTTGAAAGTCTTTTTACATTTATTAGCTCATTATTTATTAACTTTTGAGATGAAAATTTTTTAAATAAATTGTAAACATCGTGTTCTTATTCAAAATTATTTCATTTTTACTTCCTTGTACGAAGTAAAAAGGAAGTATTGTAATCGCGAAAACTTTCAAGCAGCATATTTCAACGAACGATGTTTTTGCATGATATTTGCAATTTAACGATGTTTTTGCATGATATCCGTACGTAAGGTCAGAAAAAAAGACTCTTTTCTTCCAAAAAATTATAAAACTGCTTTAAGATTAATTCTGAAGAGAATTTTTCATGGTGTCTGTACGTACGTGCGTATCTCGCATACCTCAAAAACGAGTAGCCTCAGAACGTTGAAATTTTGTATATAGGATTGCTGTAGCATTGATGCGCACCCGTTTTTGGTGCAATGAGCAGGATATATATATATAATATACTAGGGGGAAGTCAAATGAAAACCATAATTATTTTTTTAAATATTATTTATTGGTCACACAGGGTACAGAAGTAAATCACTTTTCAACAAAGTCCCCTCCTCGTTCAATGCAAGTCCGCCAGCGCTTCGGAAGAGCCTGAATACCTGCAGAAAAAAAGTGATGGCGCAACCACTCGTGCACCGCGTTGCGTACCTCTTCATCGGAGTGGAACTTCCTGCCGCCCATTGCTTCTTTGAGCGGACCAAACAGATGGAAATCGCTCGGTGCGAGGTCTGGCAAGTAAGGGGGATGTGGGAGGTATTCAAATTTATCAGGTCTGTGATGGTCGCAACCGTTGCACGCGCCGTATGTAGGCCGTGCATTGTTGTGTTACAGCAGCACACCGGCTGACAGTTTCACATCGTTTCCGGTTGACGTCGTTTCGTTTTGATGGCAGGCTGGAGAGGATTTTTTAGGAGGTCCGAGTACGTAGCACTCGTCACAGAGGTTCCTAATGGCGTGTAGTGTTCCAAGATGATGCCCTTTTCGTCCCAAAAGAGGGTCAGCATAACCTTCCCTGCAGACGGCTGTGTCCGAAACTTTTTGGGTTTCGGTGATAACTTTTTGGGTTTGTATCATTTTTTGTACCCGTAGAATTTTCCGAAACCGAGTTTTTTCAGCCCTCTTTTTAATACCAAATTTAACAGATTTATGAACGAAAGTCTAAAACAATAATTAGGTAAATGTATATGATTGGAATTTTTGTTAGACTCAAGATATATTTTTTTGTTTAACCAAATCTTCATAAATGCGGTGCAGCTTTTAACATACAAAAACAATGCGATGCACCATTGATTTTGTATGTTATTCAATAATTTGCATTAACACATTGCCTAGCAATCCATTTAGATTGCTCGCGAAATATCCCTCTCTTCTCATCAATGTGTCATCCTTCGAAATTCCCCCACATGTCGTGATCTGACGTGCTCGAATGGAAGTGTCTTAATAGGCCACGTTTAAGCTAGTGAATGATCGTGGTTGTGTCTATTTGGGTGTGGTAGATAGGTAGAAAGGTCGTACTTATTTACTCTACAGATAACAGGTTTCTACTCTTAATTACGCAACTGCTGCTGATTAACTACTGAATGATTAATCGTGCTCGGGCGATGAGTAATAAGAACTCTACTGTTAATCTTATTTTCGTATAATTACTTTCAGCTAACTGCGATGATCTGCCAATCTGCAAATTGATAATGTGAGTCATTTCAAATTGAAACTTATTATATATCATTGCATTACTTTATCTAATTAATTTAAGTGCAAAAACGTAAAGCGTTATTTAAAGGATGTCTTATCTAACTTCTTTTACCTTCATCGTCAAATCTGTATTAATAAGCTTAAATATATGGTTGAGCTTGTGGATTTTTAGTATCGTAATTCTTAGGTGCATTCTTTTGTATTATGTACTAGCTGTTGCTCGGCATGCGTAATATGCATAACCCGGCATGGCGTAACATGCGTACAACGGCATGCGCTGTAGTGCTACTTAAAGGAAAGAAAGTATTCGTGTTTGAATTCTGTTTATTGGAATGCTTTTGGATACACAGTACTTTTCTCATCTTTCGGGCACTTTCAGCTTTTACCCACATAGCA